ACATTGATGAAATCAGCCAGGACACAGGCAGGTACTGTTTTGGCGTTGAAGATACACTAAAGGCTTTGGAAATGGGAGCTGCAGAAATTTTAATAGCCTATGAAAATCTGAATATAATGGGATACGTTCTTCATTGCCAAGGCACAGAAGAGGAGAAAATTCTCTGTCTAACTCCAGAGCAAGAAAAGGATAAATCTCATTTCACAGACAAAGAGACCGGACGGGAACATGAGCTTATCGAGAGCATGCCCCTGTTGGAATGGTTTGCTAACAACTATAAAAAAGTTGGAGTTACGTTGGAAATTGTCACATATAAATCACAAGAAGAGTCTCAGTTTGTGAAAGGATTTGGTGGAATTGGAGGTTTCTTGCGGTACCAAGTAGATTTCCAAAGAATGGAATACCAAGAAGGAGGCGATGAAGTTTTTTACCTTGATGACTACTAAGTAGTTGACATGGGTCCGGCAAAACAGTGCCTCACTCTCCAGCATCCAACCCAAGAAGCATACTCATGGTGGAATCCAAACAGATCCTTGCCTTACAACTGGAACATTTCCAGAACTTAATCCATGAGCACTGGATATTGAAAAGAAAACTGAAACAAAACCAGACCCAGCCCTACACTTTGGTTTGTGATGGTGTCAGCCCAGCAGCCTACCACTAAATTCCTAAATGCCACTTTGGACTAATTTTAAAAAGAATCCCAGTTTTTACTTTTACTCAATGGTGAAATTGGCTGCTCTTGTATTTTATTTAAAAAATGATTTTTTTAACCTTTATACAAAGAAGCAAAAATACTTTAACTGCTGTAAACCTTCAAAAGTTAATAGAAGTGAGATCATACTGGTTTCTTATTTTGATTGGAGAGAAATTAAATTGCTGCATTTCGCAGTGACCCATTTACATGGCATTCTCAGCTTAGACTGCATGAGAAGAAATATATGTGGTGAAATGTTGGAACCATTTCTCTCTTGGTCTCTGTTTAATGTTGAAAGGGTGAGCTAATAGGAGGCAATTTCAACTTCACTCCCTCACGCTACCCCTTCCCCCTCCAGGCTGGCCATTTCAAGGATGCAAATTGCATTGCAAAATCAAACTGAATCATGAAGCATTTGGGCCAGTGCACTGTTTACTTCCATCTGTTTGCAGACACATTTGTGCCTGGTGTTTGGGAGCTCTTTGTATCAATGTTCTGAAAAGGGTCCCTATAACCTTAACCTACTCGAAACCAGTTTGGGATGAATATGATGGGGCTTCTGTGCTATTGCTGGGATTGGGAGAAATAAAGCATGCAATTTAAGTGGAAGCGAAAAAATTAAAAATAAAATAAATAAATCCATTGCCTGATTCCATGTCTCCCTCCAATTACTGCCCCCATTTCTCTGGTACTCCTCATAGAATAATTCCTGAGTCAATTGTCTCATGATGTTTTTAACATATCAAATGGATTTATGGATAGTGTTTCAAAAGTCAAATACTTCTACAAGGCTTGTTATGAACACAGATGTCCCCAATCTTTCATGTACACCATCTCCTGAATCCTAGAGGCAATCTACTTTATTTTGCCTAATATTTTGATGGTTACATCTGTGCCTCCAAATAGTGTGTTATAGTGCTGTTTTGTTTTTCACTCTTATGTATCATCGTTAGTGTATAGCTCCCTTTCATATAACCCTGTCCTCTCAATATAGTCATTTTATAATTTTGGTTAGCTGGGTGTTCACTATTTATATTATTATGACCACAGAAATGCTATTCACAGCTAGACTAGGAAATGCTATTCACAATTAGATTAGGAAATGCTATTCACAAGGATTATTTTCCTTCCTTCAATTGACTTCTTAATTTCCCTGGAATTAATAAATGTTTTATCCCTTCATGTGCTCAATTTCTGTTGTACTCATTATAAAATCTCCTCCAAATTTCCCTCCTGGGCCTCTGCTGTAGTTTGAATGTGTCCCCCAAAGTTCATGTGTTGGAAACTTGATCCCCAATGCAGTGATATTGGAAAATAAGGCCTAACAGAAGCTGTCTGAGTCATGAGGGCAGAGCCCTCATAAATTAATATCATTATTGTGGGAATGAGCACACAATAATGATATTGTCTTCTCTCTTGCCCTTGACCCACTTGCCATATGAAGACCCAGCAAGAAGGCTCCTGCCAAATGCTGGTGACTTGATCTTGGATTCCCAGCCTTCAGAACTGAGAAAACAAATTTCTGTTCTTCATAACTGACCCAGACTATGGCATTCTGTTATAGCAGTATAAATGAACTAAGACAGTCTCCATGAATATATTCAACCATGTCCCATGTTCTACCAACCTCATCTTTGTGAAGACACTTCCCTCAGTCCCGCCACCGGTGGACTGGTGCATGCACATCTGGGCTGACTTCCAAGATCTTCTTCACCTCATCCTGGGCATCCTTCTGCTTCTCTCTTGTGTTGGCTCTCCTACTGCCTGGATCCCATGTGTCCCCTTTTTTGGTTTTCTCCATCATTTTTGTTTCTCATTTCATCTAGCAGTATCCTAAGGGAACATGGAAAGTAAAATCTGAAACCCTAAGCTTCTGAAAATGTCTTTAGTCTACCCTAGCACTTATTCCAACCTGGACTTGGTATGGAATTCCATATTGAAAACATTTTTCCTAGGAATTTCCATGACATTCCATCAACATTTTTTAGCTTCCAATGTTGTTTTTCCTGCCTTTTGATGTTTTTAGGATTTCTTCTTTTCCACCCACCTTCTAAAATTTCATTGTGATGTGTCTTGGTATGGGTCTGTTTTCATCTACTATAGTAAGAACTTGGTTGGGGCCATTACAAGTAAAATTTTTGTCTGTAAACTTGGAGAGATTTTTTTGATTTTAAATAATTTCTATCTTTCCATTCTTTTAGAATTTGCAGTTGCTGGAAATCCTTGATAGCCTAGTATTCGTATAGTTCTTCTGTCTTTCTTGACATTGCTTTTCCATTTTTAATATTTAGTGGTAGTACAAATTTACTCTTCCAAGTCATCTATTGAAATACTTATTTAAATGATCACTTTTTGATTTCCAAGAGTTCTTTTTGGTTCTCTGATTATATATAATTTTATAAAATCCTATTCATCATTTATAAATGCCATATCTTACTATTTCTTTTAGGTATGATTAGGTATTATATCTATTTAGGTATTATATCTATTAGGTATTAATGGTGGCAGTGGACCTGTTAGATCTCCTGGTTATCT